TGATTACACTGTAAATGATAATCTACCTTAACCAAAATCAAAGTAGACTATCACTCACCCACACCAGATGGAAAACTCTACAGACTGTTGGTTCACACCCCATCACAAGCCAGCAAAACATCCACGAAACAAAGAAAGGTCTGTCACAGCCAAAAAATACACTCCAGACACGCCGCTGGCACTAGAGGCACAGCATGGCCGCCTAGTAACGGCCCCGACCACTGCCGCTCAACCTGACCAGAAGAAAACGTAGCAGGAAGCTAGCGAAGTCGTAGTAAATATCATCACAAACAGAACTGCCCGGTAAACCGTAGGCACAGAGAGAGAAGAGGACAACAAACGAGGGGCTGTGACAAACTGTTTCGTCGGAGTTTCACCGCCTCATCAGGAGGCTGAACCTTCAACAGTCTGCAGAATCCCCTCACTGATTACACTGTACATGATAATCTACCTTAACCAAAATCAAAGTGGCCTATCACTCACCCACACTACTACGACTTCGGTAGCTTCTTGCTACGGTTTTTTTCGGTCAGGTCGAGCGGCAGTGGTCGGGGCCATTACTAGGCGGCCATGCTGTGCCTCTAGTGCAAGCGGCGTGTCTGGAGTGTATTTTTTGGCTGTGACAGACCTTTCTTTGTTTCGTGGATGTTTTGTTGGCTTGTGATGGGGTGTGAATATATATATTGCAAATTATATATATATCGTCACAAACAGAATATATATATATATATATGTTATATTTTATAGGTTAAATTTGGTACCGAATCTCGATGTGACCCCGAGGCAAAAGTTGCTCAGTTTATTGTTTTTTTTCTTTTTTTTTGCTGGGATCTTCCTTGGTCCTTGCACGACCGGGCCGCCTGGGAAAACGGGGTGACCTGGGCGGCCCGGCTGGTATCCTAGCCTCAAGGCACATCAACAATAATTTCACAACAGGGTGACCCAGGCGGCCCAGCTGGTAGCCTAGTCTCAAGGCATATCAAAAATAATTTCACTAGAGGCACTGCTGTTTGCATTTCCAGCTCATCTCACCTACCACAAAACACCAAAACATGGAGAGCTATCTGCCGGTGGTTGGTCTCCCGAAAAGAGTTTCACAACATGCCTCCTCCGCGCCCCTCTCCCTCACCCCAACAAATAAGGAAAGCTCCCATTAGCACTAGCCCGTGTCGATGTGAACCAAGGCACGAATCCGGGATCTGCTTCTGCTGTATTGAGCAAATTAAAGTTTCAAAAAGAGCTTAACAGACTGATTTTCCAATTGCTCACAGACGTAGGTACTGAATTTATTGATCTTTGTCAAAATCTTGCCGTTTGTGAAATCAACCGACCTGAGGAGGATTCATGATGACTGACATCAAGATCTGTCCAGGAACGTTGGAGCAGAGATCAACCGATGCCATTTTGTACAATTGATCCTTGACCAGGGGGTCAAAACCGCATGCCTCCATGTAACCACCCCTGCGTCCACACTCTCCGTAGAACCCTGAACCAGCACATGCCAAAAAAGGGAACACAGCACAGCAGAAGCTCATGTGAGGAGAAGACAAATTTGAAGACTGGTGAGCAACTCAAAGCATAACCCAACCTCACCTGTCGACGACCACTGATAACTGGATAACGAAAACCAAAAATTTCAAATTCCATATCGGCACTCAGGATGACAATGTACCACTCACTCACTCGTTGACACTCACCTAGTTTTAAGAAGAGACAAGCTGCAATCTCTCAGAAAAACTCAGTTGAAATGAGCCAAGTACCCGTCAAGTTCAACCTTGCATACGTCAATGAACATTCGCATGAGAGATAACACGTGAGAAGCTACATCGAGGTACAATCAACACTTGAAGATGTAGTCTCCAATATTATTATCAACATACAAGAATGTTTATCTCCAGTGGCTCTGCCACACACACACACACACACAACAGATCTCAATCAGGTGGCCAATATGGCTTCTCTCTTCTCTCTCTTTTCTCTCTTTGTCTTACTTCTCTCTCTGACTTGGCTCGCTATGCCTCACTCTCTCTCTCTCTCTAACCTAGATCATCACCCTGGATACACCCACTCAGGTAAGCTTGCACCTTGTCAGCCATTGCCTCCGTCCTCCTGCTCTACCCCTACCCTAGCTATTGGGTCACACGCGTGCGCCCTTTTCTTCCTCGGGCACACAGTTCCCAAGTTGCGTTAGCGCACAAGCAGCAGCAGCGCTTCCGCATCTCACAACTAAACAAACAATGAGCCGCTGCACTGTAACAGCTAAACATAGGACTTTGCTTCACTTGGCTTGGCTTGGCTTGGCCTGCTTCAGACCGGTACCGGTCCGCCACAGCCTGTCTGCTGCAACATTTTTGTGGGTCCTGTAGCTTCCGAAATTTCCTGGGACATGCTGCAAAATTGGACGTGGGACAGTCGGACCCGACTGGACTCTTCTGCCCGTTTCTTGTTGTGCACCGCACGGACTCCTACCGATCTACAACACTTCGGTACCGACACCTACCAACCTACAGCGTTTCGGACCGCCCTGGGACTTGGTACTTGGGTGTCTGCCACGGGAGTCCTTTCACAGTCACCTGTGCACAGCATGCTTGGCTCTCACGACATCTCAAAAGCACATGCCTGGGAACCGACTAAAACCATGTGTCCAAGACTCCTATTACATGGTCTACGTTCAGGGTCAGATTCGGTATAAATTCTCACGTATCGTGAGAAGGACCAGGATGGGTCTTAGCTTCCAGATCACAATTGGACACTTACCCAGATGTAAAATTCATTACACATCATCTAAGATTGTACGCTTCACTTTTTTCAGACATCTCAGCTCGACACCCTTGCCAAATCAAGAAATGCAGAAGAAGAATTAATAACACACATTGCCAAGTTGTATCTTTTAGCTACACACATTGGCCCTGCACTTGCCAAATCGACTGAAGATTACAAACTATGTGGCAACAAAAATCATGTACCTCCTGCAACCGTAAAGACTGGAAAACACTAGCACCTCAGACCATCTCTCTCACATCCACAATTACGTCTCGTACCACATCGGCAGGTTGCCATACACGTGCATCCACTGCATGCAGAAGTAGAGGCCCAGATCGGGAAGCCTTTCCTTTCCGTAGGGATACCAACTAACGACCGCTCAAGGACTAACGTGTGATTGCCCTCTGCTTCCTCTAAGGAGGAGCTACAAAAGACAGCTATTCGGAGAATGGGAACTGACCTTTGGAGGAAGAATGCAGTGAAACAAGAGTGAAATCGCTGTCTTTAAAGCCGAGGTCACGAACAATTTTCTTGAATGACGTGAACTTCTTTCCCTCACAATAGATGTTCTCTTGGTACACCTGTAGTACGAGTTGAGGAGTGGTGAGCAAAGGAAGAGCAAGGGATGCCAGCGGCAGTGTTATTGGCAGAGAAAAATGAACATACCACAGAAGCAAACCTCTAAGAAAACCAGCACCCACAAGTCAAGGAAAGAAACACTCAACCAACGATTCATCCGAGTGCTGAGCTTTTGAGAACCACTAGACGACCTGTTGCCACTTCGCCCACCAAAACAAAGGGAGGGATGAGCAAATTCATGGCAGTTTGTCATGTGTGTCAGAATTATTGTTTTTTCTTGGAAAAACAAAGAAACAAAAGCAAATGCCAAGATGCATAAGTGGGCCAATGCAGTCTTTTGCTAAAACAACTTTGTTTCCATCCCTTGTGGCCTCTCTCTCTCTCTCTCTCTCTCTCTCTCTCTCTCTCTCTCTCTCTCTCTCTCTCTCTCTCTCTC